TAATAAAATAAACTTGAAGTATACTTCTTTTTGGTAAGGGGAGTTTCGTCAAAGCTGACTAAAAGTGATCGAGGATGGATAATTTTTTCTTCAGGGCGAAAAAGGAAAATAAAAACTGAAACGTTTTCACAGAACCTTGCAAAAGCAGCGCGTTACAATGGTGAGGGAAAAGCTCTGTGTATTGCATGTAATCACATCCTTGTCAGGCATCTACATTGTCATCTGAGGAGATTACAAAGATTAAACGAGTGTTTTTTAAACTCTAAAACATGAAATGTGGAGTTTTCTGCTTTTGCCAAAAAAACGACTGTCGGAGTTATCTGCTTTTGCTATAAAAGTTTTAATATGTAAAAAACATACTTTCAATTAACTTTAATTTTGTAAATTACCTGTATTCGTTTAAGTTATTATTACTTAATCAAAACAACCCAACTGCAGCTTGATTGATACTATTTGGATTGCGCAATAAAAAAAACGTGATTTCTGAAAAAAACAAATGGAGTTATCGGTTTTTGCAAAGGAACTCTTCAATTATACAACAGACTCAGCTGATTAACCATCTGACTATTCATGTATTCTTGATTGCCACTTTGCTGTAGGGTTAGACATAGAAATTCATAGCATGATTAATGAGCTGTTTCTCAAATCAACTCAGTTCTGGTGGAGAAACTGAAGATGAGTTCAAGCATTGTGACTCATTCTGATTAATATTAAGTCATCATTTACTCACACCACACCGAGTGTTGTCAAAGGTCCCTTAAAACCTTTTTGACTATATATATATATATATATATATATATATATAACATTAGTTATATCTATATATATATTCATTAGTTTTAATGGGAAGTGTTTATCTTTCTCAATCTTACAGGAGGGAGCAGGTGAGGACATTCCCATCATGCTCCTGGGGAACAAGACCGATCTAGACGGACAGAGAGAGGTTCCATTAGGATTGGCTGAGAAATTAGCCAAGGTGAGTGAATCTGGGCCCTGGAGTGGCACTAATGGATCACCAATAAACATTTTAAGCATGGCGGTCTTGAAACAAACAAGTAAAAGAACTGACTCAGGGCTGAATGAGTATTCTGCAGGAAGTTTTCTGTCCTTTACATGTGCAGGTACAATACAAAGATGCAATATTATGTGGCTTCCTGTCCGTTACTGTTGCATGAACTCAGCAGATAAAGAACCACACTGAATGACATGCAGTAAGCTTTACTCATTATTCTAAAAGTACCTTATTTTGCCATTTTCTTTTCACTTTCAGGACTTTCAGTTAATTTTCTATGAGTGCAGTGCTTTTTCAAGCAACAATGTGACAGAGTCCATGATTCACATGGCAAGGTAAGAGGCTGTTAACCAATTTATTTTCTGAGTTCTTTTTAAAATGAGTATACAGAAGTATATATGTTGGTCCACTTTGCAGTTTAATCTGGCCAAGAACTACCCACCAACCATTGCTGTAGTTCCTTAAACAAAACTGAATATCTTTCAAACATTTCATGCCACCAACCTTAATTTGCAAGTGCTTTTTTAAGCACTATTGTAGTAGCTCGTACCTTGTAAGCACATCTGTTCTTGTATTGTTATTAACTAAAAGTTCGGTAATTGAAATAAAGCTGAAATAAAATATAAATATTAGATGAAAAGAATGTTGCCTTGGCAAGTAACTGAAATCAATTTAAGTCGAAGGACTAAACTGACTAAAACTAAAATCAAAAAATGAAAGCGATTTATAGAAGTATTTAAAAAAAATAAAATCCTAAAAATGATGAAAGCATAAAAATGACAAAAACTAAAAACATTATAAACACATTCAAAATACTGATAAATACTATAATAGTATATCAATTATTTCCACAAGCGTATTCCAGTTTTGAGTGCAATATACATTAGTACATGAACAGACTTTTAGCATAACAATTCTTAATGTCTTTCAATTGCATATGCAGCTGCATAAACAGCCAGGTTATTCCCAGTACAATTTTATTTTGGTTGTACTGCACCTTATAAGATGTGCTACTTTTTTACTCTCTGTTAGAGTTCTGAAAGACCAAGAGGACAGAGAAAAAGAGAAAACTGTGTCACTAGTAGACAGCCACGCTAAGAAGAAGTCCTGCTGCTAGTAGAAAATCACCCATAAACACTGCAGATCTTTCAAACCTTTTTGCTTCTGCATTTTAGTATGGTTTGGTGTTAATGCTGATCTGTTTTTCTTCCTCTTATGTTCCCGTTTTCTCTTTTTGTATGACCACTGTGGAGTTCAAATTGTTTGGTCTTTTTATATACCAGTACCTCTTTACAGTGTGAAACGGACCATTTTTACAATATCAATTAGATGTAGGGCTTTAAGTAGAGCACTATAGTTTTGTGTATTACTACAGTTGTCAAACGTTTCCCTATCAAGGCCATTTAAATCACACTATTGAAGTAAACAAACCTGTATTTTTGTATTGACAGTTGTTGTAATTTATCTTTTTAATATGAAGGTCTAAGAAAGTATATTTTAAATGAGCAAAATATACACGCTAGTTTGTTTACAGCACAGTCATTTGCACAAATGTATTATTTATTACTAATGATGAATTGACTTATTCCTTTATTATTCCTAGCAAGCAGACATATTGTGAAAAATGGCTGTAATCAGCATGAATATTTTTAATACACTGCCATGCAGCCAACATATGGTTTGCATAAGGATTCGGTTTTAACAGGATTTGGTGTTGTTCGCTTTACAGTACTGAATAAACCACTGATCTATTGAAATGGATTTAGTCTAATATTGATTTCAGATCACTTTTTGATTTGCATTTTATGTATTGTGGCAACAGTAATGTATGTGTTTATATATAGTCTGTATTTGCTATTTAATGCAGTCAGTGTTAAATCAGTTAAAATGTCTCACTGCAGTTGTTGATGTTCACACTTACCATAAATAATTAGAGATGCAGTAATAGTCCACTAGAGAGTGGATTTATGCACATTTGAGATCAGGCCTATGCTGTGTTTTCAGTAATCACAATATGATTCTTGATCTGTAACTTGAGTTTTCATATTGATTCACACATAATGTATCTATCACAGCTACTGTATGACCACTGGGCAGAATAACACTAGATTTAAGCCTAATTTCTCACTCATTTAGTCTTATATATGTTCCTGCTTTATGTACACGTGTAATGTGTAAATACTAAATAGAAATGTATTTTGAGTGAAATGTTAAAAATAAAGAATACCTTGTTTGCATTAATTCCAGTTTGTGCTTTCAGGGAAATAGCAAGAGGAGGCATTGCATGCCAGCTAACAATGAATTATATATTATATTCAGATATTTAAGGCTTTGTTCTGAAAGCTCAGCCTGAGGTTCAACAGGTTTTGCCAGTTTAAATAAACTCTTTAAGTGTTTTAAAATGCAATTGCAAAGACATTTCATCTTTTTTTTTTCTTGAAAATAAAAAAAATAACAGTATTTCAAGAGTGATGAATGATCTAAAAGTAATATCAACTGCTTTTTTTTTTTTTTTCTTTTTAGTCTGATTGTTTGATTGAACTGCCGGAAGACAGTCACATGCAAAATGGGATTAGAATTACAATATTACCTAATGGTTAGAGAGTCGGACTCGTAACCCAAGGTTGCAGGTTCAAGTCTCAGGTCCGGCAGGGATTGTAGGTGGGGGGAGTGAATGTACAGCACTCTCTTCCACCTTCAATACCACGACTGAGGTGCCCTTGAGCAAGGCACCGAACCCCCAACTGTTCCCTGGGCGCCGCAGCAAAAAATGGCTGCCCACTGCTCCGGGTGTGTGTTCACGGTGTGTGTGTGTGTGCACTTTGGATGGGTTAAATGCAGAGCGCTAATTCCTAGTATGGGTCACCGTACTTGGCCACATGTCACGTCACGTCACTATATTAACCCTTGTGCGTCAATTAAAAAAAGTTACACATAGGTCCATAGTGGACAAAAATGTCCTTGTCAAAAACCTGTCATAAAAATGTGAAGCTTGGGAGAGCACAGAGTTAAGTTTGGTCTCATTTTAAAGAAGACCCATGGCTTTAAAAGTGAAACCAAAAAAAAAGTTCTAGATGTTTAGGTTTATGAAAATGATTTATGAACGATGTTTTATAATAAATTTGTATTTTATGAACCATGTTGAACTCTATACCTGCTAGAAAATCAAAGCTATAAATCTAAACAAGTTGTATTCCAAATTTGAGGTTGATATCTCAAAAAATTAGCTTTCAGTAAGATTTTGTTTGGGCGCAGTACCAAATTTTCCCCATTAGATGCCAGCAAAACTCTGCTGGTGCACACAGTGGTTGGATTTGTGATTTGCAGTAGAGTTTTTCTCTCTCAAATATTACAAGAACACACACGCACACACAATTATATTTATTTTTTATGACACACATACAAACCACACTCTGACATCCATACCAACACACCCACACAATTATAGCTGCATTATTTATCCTATTGGCTCTATAATATGCAGAAGCAGAAAACAGAAATAAAGCGAGTATTTTCTTTATAGGTCAAACCTGAAAAAATGGCACCATCTGGTAAAAAAATAGTAAAAAATTGAATTTTAAAGCCTTGCCAATATAATGAAAGCCTATCAACAAAAATTGCATAATCTTACAGTTAAATGGCACTGCGATTAAAAATAGCAGTTTTAATGGGTTTCATTGGGGACATTTTTGTCCTTAAGGTCCTGAGAGGAACAATTTTTTTTGTACCTAGTGCAAAATGGATTTATTAAAGGAAATGGAAGTGAAATAGTAAAATTCCAATAAAAATACACACCTGTGCCAAAATGTATGCAGTTGGCAATAACACAGGCAAAATGATCAAAAAAACAAAACTGAAAAGGACAAAAATGTCCAAAAGGTCGCACAAGGGTTAAAGGAAATATTCAGTGTGATGAGGTCATGTGCCAATGTATTTGAAACATTTAGCATACTGTGAAAAATGTAGTAACCAGTTCAGTATTCCATTTTAAACACAGCCAGTCTGTCAGAGTTTTCATAATCTTTTCAAGCCCCCTTGTGGAGTACAAGTGGTTCTACATTTAGAGCACAATCAAGTATTACACTGCACGTTAATGGACACATGACTTTTATTTGCTTTACCAACTTACATCACCAACGTTTCAGAAATGTTCAGTCTTTTTTGTTTCACTTTCATGTTTTTTTATCAGCAACAGGTCTTTAAAAACCACCAAATATGCTTTTAATAAGGCATGCTACTGTACACCTATAAACGTCTTGCTTAGCTTTAATTAGTTTCAATCAATTTTATTTACTATTATCTTGATAGATGCTCAAATCATGGCAGAATAATCATTTTAAAACATTTTTAACATGTAAACCTCAAATCTCAATACCAAACACCCTACCAGTTGAAAATACAATATTGGAAGAGGAAAACATTCCTTGCACAGAGAAGAATGTTATTCACATTTCCCAATCTTGCATAATATTCCACCAATGAATCAGATCAATATCTATAGTAAAAACAATGAACAATAAATATAACGCATAATGGACAATGTGCTTTAACTGAATGTCTTTGGTGAGGACTTGAACAGCATAATCAGCTGTGACACGGGGGTCACAGATGGACCGGGACGATCCCAGTCATGGCCTTGGCAAAGACTCCAATAAGAGCACAGGTGAAGAGCAGCAGGTGCCATCCGAGTCCAGCTCATCAAGATCTCACCGCAGACAGAGCCAGCATTTCTCTTGCCATCTATATTTTGATATGTATTGTGCTGTTTCTCTTTTTCTCTTTTCATCTCTGTGCTCAGTTAGCAGATGCATGTGGAAATGTAATTATCACACATCTAGAATCATAAATAATACTATAACTACATATTGCAGTCTCATCAAGTTACTAGAAAAACAAATGTACAATTGTACCACATCACTGAATTGCAATCACTTTTTAAATTTTTTTGTCTTGTAATTTCCATTATTAGCATCTGATTCAGTTTCCTCTGATATTCATGGGCAAGATGATGCCCCAAATCTTCGTTTTATGATAGTTGGGTCATTCTCAGGAAGTGGTGTCCACATGATGTACTATATATAATTAATAGGATGCAGAACCTAATGATTTTAAATTATAAAATTAACTTTGGTGTAAAATTCAGACCTTTTGAAATAAAACATAAATTCTATTTTTAAATGTTTTGTTTTTATAGCAATATGCAATTTGATTCCAATTTGGATGTCCCCATTCATCACAATATAATATAATATAATATAAAATAAAAATAGCTAATTTAGCTTTTATAGAAATTAAAATATTATTTTATGGTCTATGTATAATTGCTACATTGAAAACAATGCACATTATGACATGACATTTAAACATCTTTTTGGTAAAACATTGTGGTGAAAACAGACTTTATCAATATTATCAATATTTATGTATTCATGTATATTAGCTTTGTAAAGCTCATCAGTTGTATTTGCCAACCTTGTAGGTGCAATAAATAAATAATCTTATGCTTTACAGTAAAAAAATATATATATGTATATATGATATTTAAGTAAGCAGTAGATTATGCAGTAACCTTTTTAATAAAACAAAATTATAAATGATTTTGAAAACAAATAACTGTACCATTTTCTGAGAATGACCTGGATTTCTTGAAAACATGATTTAAATCTATGAGATCACTTACTCTTTTGCATTGAAATTGTTAAAGTCCAGCAGTGATTAAATTCAAATGAATTATTACTATGTAAGTGGAGTTATTCTCTTAATACGATATGTTAAATTAAAATATTCTTAATGCCTGGGACTTGGAAGCACAACTTTCAATATTAAATATCTTAGCTCACACTCCTAATGTAAAAGCAAAGTAACCATAAACTAACACTTAACATTCATAAGAGCATGACATTCTTTTGTTTACAGTGGGGTGTAGTCATAGTCGGCCCCTGAACAGTCAGAGAGTTGGTGTACAAGTGCAGGCTAGAGTTGGCGAAGGCAATGCTGCTATTGCTAGAAGTGCCAACCTGCTTGAAAAACGTTGGCAAGACTCCCAGAGATAGCAACTTCTGTCCTGGTCTTTCTCTCTGTCTCAGTCTCTTCCCAGCAGCAGGGTTGTAGCTGTGATCCGGAGCGGCCCCTGCCTCTGCTTCTCCGAGTGCTGTCAGAAACCGTCTCTCGCCACTGCTGGGTACTTAGCGCATCTTGTAGTCATGAGCGATAGCGGCCTCACATAGCTGACCTTTAAAATCCAGCTCAAAGGTAAAGTCCAGATCACGCTGGGTAGATGAACAAGAAGCGGAAATGTTAAATTGTGTTATATTTGAAAGAAAAAAAATATAAGAAAGTTGCATTGAATTATACAGTACACCATTCAAAAGTTTGGGGGAATTATTATTATTATTTATTTTTTAAATGTATTTTTTTAAAGAAGGTAATTTTATTCAACGAGAGATTTTTAACATTACAGCGAAATTCTATTTCAGAAAAAAATCACAGGTTTCCACAAAAAATATTAAACAGCACAAATGTTTTCAACATTGATAATAATAAAAAATATTTCTTGAGCACCAAATCAGCATATTGCAATGATTTCTGGAGGATCCTGTGACACTGAAGCCCAGAGAAATAGTTACTGAAAATTCAGCTTCGTTATCACAGGAATAAATTACATTTTAAAATATATTCAGATAGAAAACAGCTATTTTAAATGCTAATAATATTTCACAAAATATATTTTATCAACTAAATCCAGCCTTGGTGAGCATAGGAAACTTGTTTCCAAAATAATAGAAAATCTTATTGACCCAAAACTTTTGACTGTCAGTGTATAAGTATTTTTTTAAATATGGAAAGCATATTTTTGGCTATACTTATATTAAAGGGGTCATGTGATGCGATTTCAATTTTTCCTTTCTCTTGACTGTTTCTAAAATGATCAAATAAAATGGGTCTTGAAAGCATATTTTACTTTTTTTTATTATTATTAATTAGGTGGATTCTTACTGCGTTCTTCTCGTTTGGCTTCATGCTGATGGTGCCGACTATCTCCTCTCCTCTTTTCACAGTTAAATATTCCTCCAGATAAAACACTGTCTGCTTCCAGTGTGTGTATGGGGCATCTGGTGCTATGGTAGAGTAAATAGGAGAGTATTCATAAAATATATCCAACAAAATATTAAAGATATAACACATTGTTACACGGCTCTCTGAAACACTTGATTCTGATTGGTCAGTTGCTG